GCTGCCATTGTGTATAACTTGCTGCTTGTTGTTATTGAATGCACCCGTTTGTGTGGTAATTGTAAATTAAAAGTTAAATGGCGACGTTCAACTATTATGTTTTATCTATACACTGTTTGCGAATGACGTTAATTAACTTGAACCTCGCCAACCTCGCCAGAGAAACAATTTAATGAAGGAGAATTTAAAGATTTCAATTCATAAAACCTGTGGACCCACAATTGAAATTCAGCAATTAGCTGACTGAAAATCCTAGTTAAAATATTTAATGAAATGAAACCTTTATTTGTGATGATTTACATTGTAGGTAAACAATTACAAAGTGTTTCTTCCCCCGTGTCTAGTGCAACATTTGTCGTAACAGTGTAGCATTGGAAATGTGTGAAATAATTGATGTTGTATTGTGCGTTTTGTCGCTACGCGGCGTATTGTTCCCTTTAGTATTGTTGAACTGATTTGAATCTCGCGTTTTGTTTGTTGCTGAGGTGACTACGATTAAAGTTTTCTGTGGACACAATTAAGTATTGGCAATGGCACCTTTGAATCGTTATTATTAATTTCATTTCTGTCTGTTGTGTTAATTACCGCCTTAATAAAAGTAAACACTTTTTCTTAATAATGCGTAAATGGGGGTATCAAACAATGATCTAAAGTTTTAACTTTACCTACTTTACTTAAGTAACGTTTGATGTTATGCAATTTTTTGTTATTTTTGCATGTTGTATCTTTGTCTTAAAGCGACAGCCAATATTTTTTATTGTTAATAATTCGAACGGATTTTTTTTGTAAAATATAAAATATCTTAACAATTTTTGAGTGAGTGGTCACTTTAAACGAGCGGTTCGCGTGGAAACGCGAGTTGTAATTACGATTCGTGTCGGTTTGTTTACCTCGCCGATAGATGGCGTTTGTTTCAACAACACGCATTGTTTTTTCCCGCGCTCCGTGGCCAACTTTTCTCATTTATTCCAACAAATATGTCTAGTGTTTCAGCGGTTTAACTTGAACGTTTCATTGAATTTCAACTCACGTTCACACATTGTCGTTGTGGAAATTTTATAATTGCTACACACAGCTGGTACCTTTCTACATTGTTCATGAATCGCGTGCGACACAACTTTAATAATAATGCTTTGAGAAAGTAATGAAACTTGTCACAGAGTAATGTATAAAACAGATTTAATGAGTAAATATTAACACAGCTGGGATAACATTGAATTTTACAAACCGTCCCACTAACTTCAATATGTTGCCATATTTCTGAGAATGTCGTCTAGGCTCCGCTTAACATTTACCTATCGATGATGTATCAAAGTAATTTTAGGATAGGTAGCTCTTTATATCTTGTGTAAATAGGTTTCCATGTCCTCCATCAAAATTCCTGAACTCCGGAGTATCGCAACATACATTATGGCGAGCAGTAAGTTGTACATAATCGTGAACAAGCGGGCGCTTACGCGATAAATTCAGCGCGGGCGAAGCGCCGCTCTCATTGAATCATCAATCAACCCCCGCCCCGCCCCGCACTCTACCGCCTCACCCCTCGCACACCCGGTACTGCTGTAATTAAGTCCCAAATTATCCCTGTAAGGGGTGGCTAGGTCCGTTCTGCTGGCGGGACAGTCCGGGTGTTGTGTAAATAAATATCGGCAAAGTAAGAGAACTTCAGTAAGTACCTACTTCTGATTTTTGACTACCCTTGCCTTAGGTTGTAAACTTTTTATAATAGATATTTGGTTTTCTTTGTTAACCTAATGAATAGACAGTGGATCTGTATTCTAAATAGATTCAAACGTAAACTTTGGTCACAAGTATGTCGCCGGTAATTTTATTGAACCTCTTCAAATTACGAACCAGTAGAATAGTCAAACACCGCAAACATCTAACATAATTATAAGAATTTCGTAACAAAATCCATGGTGACCCTAGCACTATCGCAGTACGGCCGTCGAAGCAGTAACACCAATTACCAAAATTCGTCAAGATTTCTGTATTGCCTGTCCCTTTCCTGATAGCATGTTAGCTGGACGATTGACAAGGACAACATTATGCTGATCCTGCACATGTTGCCTGTATGAAGCTTAGTTAAGTGTTGGTACACGGAGTAAGACAAATTGATTGTTTTAAGGGAATTTTAAAAGGAACACAAGAATTAATCGCCTTTGATGACTAGTAATGGAAGTGTTAGCGCTGAACTGCACCATAGAGTTGCACGGGAAATGAATAAATGATAAATAAACACGTGGGAGAGGTCCATTTCGAATAGTCTTCTTTTGTATTTCAGAAAGTAAGACGACGAAGTTGTTATGATCGGGTTATAAACTCTACGACAAGTTTACAAGGACCACTACATAAAGACTAATTTCATTTCTAATTTTGTTGTGTAATCGTTTGTTATATCTATAAATTAAGTTTACAGTTATAGGTAAGTTTACTTTTTCAAAAATCAGTAAGAATTTTCTTTTACCTTTTCACCATCGCAAGATACAATTAGGCAAAGTAAAAACAGCAACAATCAGGAGTTTCGGATTACGTTTCAAAGTTATTTAAGCTTTACCAAACTTTCTGTTTTATGAGACTGCCGCCTAAATTGTCTTAGGCCCGAACTACTTTGCAACAAGTATGAAATGTTTCGCGAAGGAGTTTTAAAGGAGACGTTTAACTGCGAAGAAGTGATCAGGCCTGATTAAAAAGGAAAAGTGGCGTAAACAATAACAGCCATGATCGTAAATAACATGAGGCACCTCGGCGTAGGAAGGACCAAGTTGAGCAACTTTTAAAGTTATGGTTAGCTCTTACTAGCAATGACGTCGACTGTGGTTCGAGGGGATATCATCTTCCAAAAGGATCACTACTCTGCTTTCTATCTGAAGTGCTGTTGTTTTAGTACTGTTGTTGTATTCTAGGTGTCTCATATCTAGTTCATAACTTCAATGAACTACATAGGATGGTTAAATGGTAATGTATCTGTGTGTGATACTTGTACCTAATAGGTACATATTTGAAATATTCATTCTCAAACTGACTGATCAATGAGGTTGACCATTTAGGATCTAACAATCCAGGTTTGATTACCTTTTTGAAGAGACAGTATTTGGTAAAGTCTAAGAAATAATACTTAAAGGAATGACACATAAAGAAAGCTTAATCTCTCTTTGTTCCTTTGATTTATTAATTAGAAATATATGTTTGTATATATCTGTGTTATTAGTTGGTATTATTAAAAATGGCTGCTTTCATTAAATTATGATCCATCTGCTAAACAATGCCTATGTATTTAATGAAAGACGATCACTTGGCACCCGTAATACACACAACAGGCTGCGAACTTCGCTACAACATTGCCCCACATAGCAGTATACTGTAGCATTAATAAAATTAATAAGAAACAAGCTTAGCGATGATTGATCACGTTGCGAGCGCGGCCCGGACTTGCTAACTTTTTGAATCAATCATGGGAGCAGATGGCGCGGGCGCGGTTTATAATCACTGCTTGTTTGTGCACCTTGTAACTGAAACTTAATTGTTACTTACCAGGGAATCGGTAACAGCTTCAGTGCTGAAGTCAACTCATTGAATGGGACATGTAAGAAGAAGGGACTCGCTAGAAAAGTTGATTGATAAGCCCCGTATCAACTAACTGCCATATCTGTCATGTTTATTGTACCAGTAATTGTACCTTTCCTTGTCGAAACTGCATGCATAGCATACTTTAAATGTATTCTGTTATTTTAAGAATTTTGTTAGAAGTTGTGTTATACTTAATATGTTTTTTGAGAAGGCACTTTAAACCGTGAGTCATGTTGAAATAAATATTTTGTTAAAGACATAAGAGGCAAAACTACTTATATTTTTTACAACTATTATAAATGATTTATAAAAAAACTAGATCGTATTTTGTGATCTCATAAAAGCGAAAAGTACAAAACTAAAGCAGTACATCAAGTCGAATAGGAAAGTTTGGGGAGCTCCCGCTCATAGTGAGTTATTTTTCCAATTTGCTCTTAACAAACACATTCGGCGAGTCTGGCCAACTTTACGCATAACTTGATGCGAGTTACTTGTGAAACTTGCCGTTTTTCCAGCCCCTTCAACTGGACCACATGTCGGGAACAGGGCTCTGCCTATTTACATGCAAATTGCTTAGCGTCGACAGATTTCTTTTCGATATCCCCCATCTTTGGTCTGCATAACTTTCGGCACTATACATAATTCATTCCAAACGGTCGGTGGCGATCTTTTTTATTAGTTTCCTTATTCAGTATTCACATTTTACTTTGAATTACTCGAGCTTGCTCAAAAGGATTTGATTTCATGCAAATGAATTAAATTTTCAATATAGCGCCATCTAGTTCGTGTATTTGAAATGAGTTTTATAATGTTTCCAAAAGATGACGCTGTGTGTCGAAATTTAGGAACTGCATAGAAAATGTAAAACAGTTTGTGATGAATATTAATTTCTGTACTTTTCTCTTTATTTCCTTTTAACGCATTATGGAGCTCTGCGCACCTCATCAAGCAAATTACGTCTTCACATCTCGGAGCTCAAAATTCATTTGCATTTGAAACAGTGAATGATGCAGCCGTGAAAGGTCCGCAATTTGCTCGCATAAATAACCATCAAAATTAGTAACAATTTTGAACAAACTTCAAAAATTTCCTAAATGGAAGATTTATTTCTTAATTTATTTTTAAAGTTTTGATGGCTTATGTTTATTTTACGGAAATATTTTGACAAACTATGTACCTACTCTGATAAAAGAGTGTTTTTAAGTCAAATTCACAAATTATTTATATTATACAGATATAGATGGGGAACCTAAAATTAGAAATACTATTATTTATATTTTATCATTAATTGCTTTGACTTTAGCTTATGAACGTAAATTTCGACACTAAGTGTATCTCCCGTATGGTCTAGTGGCTAGGATACCTGGCTTTCACCCAGGAGGCTCGGGTTCGATTCCCGGTACGGGAAAAATCTTTTTGTATTTACTTACCTTGCTATTAAGATTATTTTGTGTGCAAAAACTTTTTCTTCGTTGGTTCCGAGGATAAAAACGATGTCAGCGGAGTCTTGGTCTTCCGAGAGCCTCTGTAAGTCGCGCAGCAAGCCCGGCAGGCCGGCCCGCTCCACCGACGCAGTGCAACAAGTGCCCGTCACCCTATTCGCCATCGGCACTGGCTGCTTCTTTTTGATTGGATAAATTTTGACGAGTGTTTCTGACGTTTTTCCCTATTTACACAGCTGATTAACAGCAACAATTAATGAATTCTTAACACAACACTAACTTACTGTTTGTTAAACCAAACGCGATAGTTATTGTCAAGGAAAAACACTCTAAATACACCAAAACAGTAAACAATGCGACTGTCACAGCCACACAACAATCACGACACTACAAACACTACTGTTTGTCACTTGGTTCACTTATTTATAGAAAACATTAGATTTGCAAATCGTTAACTCAAAGCTTGTCAACATAACCTCAATCGCATAACTTTGCCTCAACTTGAAATACCTTCAACTTGAGTATGTGAAGGCTTTCCAGCTATACGGGTGTTATAAAGAACCTCGTGTTTGCTACGAAACACTGTGTCCATTGTGTTTTGGGTTAAAGTCCTCTCACGGGCACAAAACAGGTTTTCATTAAACTCAGGTAGACGCTTCTATTAATATTTCTATCTTTGTCATTCATTGTGTACGCGTGCGTTCCATACATATGGTATTGCTATTTCGGCACTGTTCATAACTGCCTCCGTGGCGCAATTGGCTAGCGCGTTCGGCTGTTAACCGAAAGGTTGGTGGTTCGAGCCCACCCGGGGGCGATTATTTTTGTTCAATCTTGAGTTGATTTCGTAGCGTTCGTGTTGGGAGTGTGGCATGTATTTGAAATTGCTATTGTATGATTATATGAAAGTACAATAATACGTCTACATAGATATTTTATGTGTAATTTTAAAAATAGGTCAGTAAATCTGTGATACATATTACCCGATGTTCTTTTGACCAGGAGAAGGCAAGAAAAACCCACCAAAGAAGGGATAACATAGTTTGTGTGGAGAATGATAGTTTCGAAATAAAGGAGGTTTGGAATTTGTAATAAATAAAATGGTAACTAAAAAAGGAATATTGCCCTAACTCAGGGGACTAAGACTAGCGTTGGAAAAATTTATAATATTTATAGCGATTGGAACGATAGCATTTTATAGTAAAATCAGTGGGTTTTACCCAGTTCTGTTATGTTCATGCAACCGAACAGCTGCTGCAAGTGTAACACTGTCTCGGTGACGATAACGATGCAGTTGTCTAGTGCTACAATGGCTCACAAATTCGCAAAATCCGTGCCAAAACGCTACACTTGGAGTATTTAACGCTAGGAAGTTACTCGCAGATCGTAGACGTGACAGTTCGGAAATTGCAACCCGTCAGCGGCGGCGGCGGCTGGCACGACCGGCGACCCTACGTCGAGCTCACGCCGCCACCCGTCAGCAGTCGGCAAATGTCGGCTGTATCCGTCAAACATCGGCACAACCATTTATTGCGTGCCTTGAATCTGTAATTGAGTTTTGAATTGAAGATGAAACTTGATTTATCAAACTACATTCAGAAGACAAGTATTAATTGTACTAGCATATTGTTAAACTACCTTTTTACATAATAGAGCGAATGAACAGTGAATTAAAGCAGGTATAAACGATGTCTAAGAAAAAATAAACAAGCTTGAATTTTATGGTGTAAATTAATATCGATGGAAATTAAAATAATCATACTTTGAGCTTATTACAACAATAAACGAACTCTCCACAAATAAACATTATTTTATTCAAAATATTATAAATCTCTGCTTTGGACTTTGCCGACTAGCAAAGTTTATAATAAATTCACAATGTGTTTACAGTGTGGCTACACAAACAGTATAAATATTCCATGGTGGAAAAAAAACTATTCAACCGCGAACATTCTGCCACAATTTTGTGCAAACGTAATATTTAGTTTAGCATTACTATTGAATGCACTGTAGGTTCCTGTGCACTGTTAGGAATGTGTGTACAGCGGGCCGGGCCGTGCCTGACCGGCCGTCATCCGGTCGACTGCATTATTCAACTGTCATACATACAGATTGTTAGTTTACATCACATTTAGTCCAGCAACGAACAAACACACTAATAAAGCAAAAATTCGTATTTGCAATCTATTCCGCGATGGATTTTAAATGCTCTGAATTATGCATAGATGTCCAATACGTCCATCACATAAGTATTTGATATCATTTTATTATGATGGCAGGTAATTTCGAGTTTACTGATACCTAATTGAAAGGAATTTAGAACTTTTGAAAACATGTGAAGTCTTCTCACGATTTTGCATTCAGACAAAATGAGTTAGCGCGTTATTGGAGTCCTGTCCAGCATGATTAATTAGTACTCACAGCACATTAACCTACAATTGCGCAATAACCAACTTCGGCCGTACCCGAGCATCATAATTCTAGCAAGGCGTTTATTTTAACAGATGTACCAATATTTCATGGCCTCTTAACTGCTCCGTCGACAAATATATGGGCTTACACAGTCTGGTTTCTGTGAACGTCACCATACATTAGTAAGATTTACTAAATAATTGTAAAATAAGAAGGGCCTGTATGTCTATAATAATTCTCTCGGTTTGTTTTCTTTGGTCCGGAGAACGCCGTTCAAAGTGCGCTGCTGACGCGTTAATGTATCTATTGATTTCAGTATATTATTGGTCCCTTATTTATGGGTGTCAAGGTTAATGTTTCGTGTAACACTGCTCTCTGGAGGTTTAAACAAATAGTTTGCGTTCGAGATAACACGTTAACATAGGGTGCTTGGTGTTTCTCAATCGGTGACCAGAACAAACTAATTTTTTTCTAAAATTAAAATGTCTATATCAAAAAGTAATCATTAATCTACCTAGCAACGGAAACATCGACCCTATATAGTCGTATTTGATAAAAATAAAAAATCAAATACAGTTATCATTTACGACGGGCTCTGTACAAATATATACGATTATATCAATCACTGTCGAGGGCCACTGCCGAAATATGTATGTTTGTTTGAGATAATATCGTCAATAACTGGATTATGGTCATTCTGACCGACACATCCCGTATTTGTTAACACGTGTAAACTGCGATAGCGACGGGTTAAGTAAACACACTGTTTGTCGTTTAATATCTTCGGATTAAAGTGATCGTTCATGATTCAATATCGTCTACTCGCCGTACATATTCAAGTGGTATTATTATTTTGTAATACTGTTAGTGTAGTGATTTGTGACTAACATTGTAATAACATGTAACCTACGGGACAACGAAGGACTGTGTAGTATGAAGGTATAGTCGAGTGTTCTCGCAGGGACACGGAGTCATCATAACAAAGTAAAATACCAATCAGAGCCAAACAAATAGTACAATTAGCACTAGGGAGGAACAATCAAAGTCAACGTGCCGAAGACAACGAGTATGACGAGGGGCCCTCATTGTACTGAAATAAGAAAACCAATTAAAGCCGAGTTCTAAACGTCACCTAACCGTTGAATATGAATGGCGCGGTCGGGGCGACCCACGCACTCGGCCCGATGCGATCTGCCCGCAATTATACCACAAAAGAATCAATTACACGCCAGCCAGTCGCGCTCCCGCAAAGCGGAAAGAAAACAATATTGCACTCGCAACGCTTAAACTCTTCACCGTTTCTGTGCCTTACCTTGTGCCGCGACAGGGCTATGAGCCGACAGAACTGATCCGCCCACGCCGACATTGTTACATGGTTTTGGGAGCTTATGAAGTTTAGATTATAATTTTGGTAAAGGAATGTCTAATCGATGCTCACTAGATGGCATGAGTGATGTTTAAAGTCATGTTGATTTCAGTGTTGTCTGGTTCCAATAGAGTCTAGTGACTTGCCAATAGTAAGGAAAAATATCAGTGCAGAAAAGAGAACCCTTCTACTTGCTCCTTAGCAATGAGCGTCAAAACAAAGGTCCTCTAAGGACCTTCGTTGTGTAATTGTGTCAAGGAAGTAATTATTACATACTTACCTCTAACTTGCTGATTCAAATAGTAGGTACTTAGTAGCTATACGTATATTTAATTTAAATAGTAAAATAAGCCAATAGTAGTATATATTTTGCAAGAAATATTTTCATGTGTGGAACTGAAGCGAGGAGAAAATCTACGTCGTAGGTGTCTACGCAATTAAGAGTGTGACATGTTCTCATGGAGTTGGTTGGCTTGGCGTAGCTGGCTGCACCACACGACCGAACGTTTGCCAAAATCAGTTCCGCGTGAGTGAGCCGCGTCTAAATTTTTATCATCGCCGCGGCTCGTCTCGCGAGTTTGGCCCTCGTCTCTTTGAGGTGCAGATCAAAGCGTACGCGCTTCTATTAGCCCTGATTACAGCGGCGCACTCGACGCCCCCGCCCCGCGCCCGCCGCCGCCTCCCCTCACGGTCGCATTGTCTAACCGCGACCGCCGTCGGGTTAAGTTAAGATGCGTTGTAGTGTCATTGCAAGTTTAATTAGCTTTGATAGTGATGCGCCGACGTTTGACGTCTCTAGTACGCGATAAGAGAGCTGTGCCACTTACGCTGCGATGGCTACATAGTCTAGGTCTGCTTGAAGACTCGAAGTACTAACAAATATATATTTCAGAACATATACATATAAGTGGTAGTGCCAAAGGAAGTAGCGGTCGGATGCCTTGTGCAGTGTGTACTGTTTGATAACCTCGATGGATCTGTATCGTCTTCCGAGCTGATAGTCTAGTCTAATGTCTGCGCCGCGCTGATAAAGATCTATTTTGAGCTACTACGGTACTGATATGAAAGAAAAGAAGCATTAACTGCAAAAAGGAGCTCATTGACAGAAGTCAATGAGCTACGACTGGCTAGCATAGTACCTCAGCGTACAGTAGTATGTTATTCGTACTGGTGTAGTTATCAGTCGCAGTGAATGAATCTTATCAGGCTGTTATCGCGAGGCCGCGCGACGTGCTACTTCGGTAGTAGGACCCAACGACCGATATTCAATTTTAGAATATTATTGTTCTTATTGGTGTAGGTAGGGGACTGCATACTTATAGTTAAGGTATATTCTATATATAGGTAGTATATTATAGGTCATGCCCACTCATATAGATAAGTAAA